GTGCTGCACCCCCGCCCGCCCCCTCTCACCCCCAGGGTAGCGTTTCTCAACGGGGGGGATCATATGGCTACTGTGGGCCACCAGGATAGTCCAAAGGGCGCACAGGCGAGAAGCCAGGCAATGGCGTGAGAACGGAGGTCAAGCAGGAAACAGGTCAGGGGGCCACTGACCGCAAAGGCTGAAAGGCATCACTGAGGCCTTCCCGAGTGTCCACCCGCTGAGATACTGAGTATCCACCTGCTGAGATGCCCCGAGTGTCCACCCGCTGAGATGCCCATGCGTGTCCACCCCGAGACCACCCCCCTCACCCGTCTCTGGCTCTCCTGGAATTACCGACCCCCTCCCCTCCTCCGCATCCACCCCCACACCAGCCCCACCTCCTCTCCTCCAGGGTCTCCGGAAGCCCCTGGCCTTAGTGGCCACCTCTGTACCCCACGTGGCCCTCCTCATCCACAGCGCCCGTGTCCGCTGGCAAGACAGATACTCGCCGAGCTGACGGCGACGGCCCCATTCGCAACCCTGGAGAGGCTCCGTCTCCTTACCGGCCTCATGTCTCCTCCGCGGGCCTGGCTAGTCCAGAATATTCCACCACGGAACAAGCACGCCCCCAGTCTTCTCCATTTTGACCCTGGGCCTCCACTCCAAGCCCCAGTTCCCACAAACTGCCCGTGGTTCCCCCATGTGTCTCCCTCCTGGACGCCACGCACAGTCCTTCAGCCTGGAAAGACTCCGTCCAGGGAAGACCCCAGCGCTGTGTCACGCGTCAGCCCGATCACAGCCGAGACACGCGGGGCCCGGAGTGGCTGTGTCCACACGTGTGTCCTCCGTGTGTCCTCCGTGTGTCCTCTGTGCTACCCTGCGTGCAATGAGCTGTTGAAGGCTAACGGGTCCCACAGTGAAATACCCTTCCCGATTAATACCCAAGAATAGCCGAGATCAGTACCAAGAGGATTACTCCATGGCTTAGAGGCCAGCCGGGCATTCTAGGGGAAAGGGCAGCTCAGACAGAGAAGGGAGCACCAAATAAAGGGTGTTTGGAGGATCCTCCCAGGATGGGAGATGCATGTCGAAAGTACACTATGGACTGAACATGTTTGCCACTCAATGCCTCTTTTGCAGACCACAACACCCAAAAGGAGAGAGAGAACATAGGGGATTGCCCTGCCACAGAGGCAGGGTGGGATGGGGGGGGGGGGGGGGGGATGGAGGGGGGAGGGATGCTGGGACCCGTGATGGTGGGAAATGGGCACTGGTAGAGGGATGGGTACTTGATCATTGTATAACGGAAACCCAAGCACAAAAATTTGTAAGTCTACAACTGTACCTCATGGTGTTTCACTAATAAAAATTAAAAAAAAAAAAGAAAGAAACATTTGCAGTATACTAGACTACTTAAATGACACTGTAATAAATGATTCATAACTTTTCTTTTGGAAAAAAAAAAAAGAAATCCCCTCCCGGTGGACACCCTCCTGCCAACACACCCCATGGGAACAGACCAGCGTGGTCGCCTGCCCAGCTGCTGAAAAGCCATCAACGCAGTCCCTGCACTTCCAGCCCTTCCAGAACCATCTTCTCGGGCGGGGGCGCTCACAGTCGACGGGCGCTTGCCTTGCTCGCGGCCGGCCCAGGTTCAATCCCGGCCACATCCCGGAGTTCTCAGGAGAACCCCGGAGAGTGATCCCTGAGTACACAGCCTGAGCAGCCCTGGGGGGCAGCCCGAAAACCAACACCAAACCCACGGAATCGTTCCGGGAGGGGTGACCAGGCGCTCTGTCAGCCTCGGGCCCACGTGCGGAAGGTGCCAGACGTCTCCTGGCCCCAAAGGCCTGTGCAGGGCCAGGTGAGGCCTGGGCTCCTTTCGCACGGAGGCGCTTCGGGGAAAGCCTTCTAGAAATCAATCTGAAATGAAATTTCCTGCATGGCCCGGCCACGCTGGCTTCGCTCTCAGGGGCGATAAACTATCTACCGTTACAAAAGGAAATGTCTTCATCGACAGGAAGTCGAACAACAGAGCGCTCGTTCCAGAATAATCGACTGAGTCGGGGAGATACTGTCCCCGGCGGCCGGGGAGGACGACAAGCATCGAGATATGGTTCTGCCGCGGAGGGTCGACGGGTCGCTCGGGTCAGGGAGAGATGGAGTGTCTGTCCCGGGCCTGGCCGCCTCTGCTCCTCGGAGGAAGGGCGCCCGCCTCACCTCGGACGCCCACTCGGGATGGAAAACACGCTCCTGGGGGTCTGCAGAAAACAACTCAGCACCCCCCCCCCCCCCACGGTTCTGCATCTGGCCGGAGAACGGTCACCAGGGACTGAGAAAGGGAAACGGAGCTTCTCCCCTGGACGCCACAGCAGAGAGCACTCGTCTCCAGGGACCGGACACTCATCCTTAGCCCAAGCGTCAGGAGGTGACAAAACGCCTCGACCTCCACTCCGGCGTCAAACGGACGGCGACCGTGTCCCTGTCAGCACGTCGCCCAGTCGCCGCCGTCAACACTGGGTCTCGTTTCCCCTGTAACATGCGAGCCCTGCCCTTCCCGCCAATCCCACCCCACACAGCGGTGAGCCACCCGTGGTCCACGGGAGCAGAGGCACAGACGGGAGGTGGGTGGCTCCCCATTCTCCCCCAGGGCTGGGAAACAAATCGTCTTCGAATGTTCTAACAATTTATAAAATTCTCATTTATTATAAGGAGAGGGCCTTAAATTTTTTTTTTAATTTTGATTGAACTACGTTTTTTTCTGTTTGAGGGGGCCCACACCTGGTGATGCCCAGAGGCTACTTCTGGCTTATATTCAGGATTTATTCCTGGTAGTGCTCGAGGGACCCTACAAGATGCCAGGGACAGACACCGGGTCAGCCGTGTGCAAGGCAAACGCCCGCCCCGCTCTTCTTTAACTCTGGCCCCTAAACTTTGATTTTTAATCAAGTAACTTTTTATTAATGGCAGAATATAATAATAACAATAAAGCACTGTAGCACTGTCCTCCCGTTGTTCATTGATTTGCTCGAGCGGGCACCAGTAATGTCTCCATTGTGAGGCTTGTTACTGTGTTTGGCCTATCGAATACACCACGAGGCGCTTGCCAGGCTTTGCCGTGTGGGTGAGATACTCTCGGTAGCTTGCGGGGCTCCCAGAGAGGGGAGGAGGAATCGAACCTGGATCGGCCGCGTGCAAAGCAAAAGCCCTACCCGCTGTGCTATCACTCCAGCCCAACAACAACAATGATAATAATAATGCATCAATGATCATCAGTGAACAGAGGAATCCAAGGGGAGGAAACTGTCTGTAGCAAGTCATTTCCAGTCCTTTCTGGAACAAGGCCGCTGGAGTCACTAACGGCGCAGTAAAACAGACCCGTGGTTTTCTGGACGTTTCTGTGTTGGATGCCATCACCTAAGAGCTCCATCGACCCGGTTCAGAATTCCCTCCCAAACGCCACACGCCGTGGTGGAGGCAGCGACTGACTCTTGAAAGCAGCAGATTTGTCGAGCCCCAGGGACGGGCCACTCCGGGCTACTGGGCTTTGTTCCGGGAAGAAATACTGGACGGAGGCAGACGCGAGGGCCGAGGAGCCAAGGGGACGAGGCCACGGTGAGCCCTCGCCCCGCGGCGGGACGCGGCCGACCGAGGAGGACCTCGCGCCCACCGATTTTTACTACTCACAATAAAAGGTTGATTCAGTTCATTTTAACATCTTATGGGGACCCAGAAAAAATATTACTTTTCTCAGCCAGTCATGGAACTGCTACCAAAATGAATATTAAAATGGTTTTTATTGAGTTACACGTTCCAACGCTTTAACAAAAGGCTTCATTCACAATGTGATCTGGAAGGGCAGAAAATACATCCACGCGGAGATCGTAACCACAAGGTCGACCCAAAATAAAAGCGCGCTGCTGTTTTCACGGGGGGCGGCCGGGTTCTTTTCTGCTGTGCAGTGACCAGGGAGCACACTTTTAAAGGATAAATGAGCATTCCTAGTAGCTTCCCTGAGGATCAATCCCAGTGACCGGTCGCGAGGGCGAAACAGTGGCGGACACACTGCACTTAGGAGAAGCTGCCACCGGGACCCTAAAACATGAACGCATTCACTCCCCAGAAAACCTGCAGACCTGTGTCACGGCCGAGCGCAGGGCAAGAGGCGGGACTTGGAAACGACCCAGACAGCCAAGGACGACGCCTGAGGAAGAAGGCCAGGCGTGGGTGCACCACCCGGCACCCTGCGGCCACGCGGAACTAGGAAACCACGCAGCCCGCTGCCCCACGGACAGAGCCGGAAGGAAGGTCTCATGGGAAGGGCGAGTCAGGACAAAGCAGGCGGATGTCGACTTTCTCCGTTTATCTGCGGCCCATGGAGTGACGAGGCAAGGGAATGAATGGAGCAAAAAAAAAAAGGAAAAAATAAGGGTGGAGGGGTTGGAGCGATAGCACAGCGGGGAGGGCGTTTGCCTTGCGCATGGCCGACCCGGGTTCGATTCCCAGCATCCCATATGGTTCCCTGAGCACCGCCAGGAGTAATTCCTGAGTGCATGAGCCAGGAGGAACCCCTGCGCATCGCCGGGCGTGACCCAGAAAAGCAAAATAAATAATAAAATAAAATAAAAGGTGGAGAAGCAGAAAAATGAAAAGGGAGAGAGCTGAGGGGCATGAGCGAGCACGGAGAAACCGGAGGTGAGGTGGGGGCATGGACCAAGGGCCGGGGGTACGCCTGCAAGTATCTCAACCACAGCAGCCAGCGCCCCGGGAAGCAGAGCACCCAAACGACAGTCATGAAACCGAAAAAAAAACGTATCCGGGATGGGAAGGAGCCGGGGGACGCCGGAAACAGGACACCAACCGTGGGGCGGGACGGACGCTGGAACCAGCTACGCCTGAACCCCAAGGACTGGCGGCGTGCGGGAGTCGCGGCTCCTAACTTAGGAATCTCCGGGCAAGGACGCGAGAGCCCCGGCCTGGCCTCCTCCAGGACGGCGCGAGCGACGCCGACGGGCCCCTACCTTGACGTGGCTCTGGGCGCCCAGGTTGTAGATCTCCGAGGGTTTGACCTCGTTGATGATCTTCACGAGGCAGGTGCTGTCGGTGAGGTCTCCGTAGTGCAACTTCATGTCTTTGGTGGTTCGGGGAAAAAAAAAAAATGGGGGCCATCAAACGCAGAAGGGGATTGGGGATTCGTTAGGCCAAGGTCGGACTAAGGGGCACTGCATCTCTAGCAATGTGCCGGGACCCTGAAACACCACGAGGGTGGGCCGGAACGCCGCCCGCAGCGGGAGAGGGGCTGAAAACCACCATCCCCCGGGGACAGATGCGGGTCTGCGGAGGCGAGAAACGGAAGGGCGACGCTTTAACTCCAGGGCCATGACCCAGTGGCCCCCGCGGACCTGAGGTTGAAGAACGCGGCCTGACAGGCGACCCAGGCCCTTGTGACGCTAACTCAGAGCGGACCCCTGCCCCGGCCTCCTGGGCGGGAGGATGTGACACCGCGGGCTTGCCAAGCAGACACTGTCGTCGTGTTTTATGGGGCCCGGATCCGTGTCTGCGCACGACTCGTGCCTGCTCTGCTCCCAACCCAACCAGTAGCAACTGGTTTTCAAGGAGGAGGCACTGGCCACCTTGCCATGACGGTCAGGGTCCCGTCCTGGGGACAGCCAGGTCTGTCTTCTTCCCGAGGAGGTGTCCGTACGTGTGTTCAAATGCTGGACACGCACCGTCCGGCACAGGGCCGCGGCCGTGAACACAGACTCGCAGAAGCAACATGCCACCAGGACCACGTCCCGCCCTGTCCCGCATGGGCTAGACACCCCGCTCACCCCTCCGGGTGGCTTTGGAGAAACTGTGCCCGCATGGCTCAGGGTGGCTCTACCGAGGGGCCCGGCAAACCACGGCAACTCCCAGCAGTGATCTGCAAAGCAGGGGCCTGAACCAGCTCTGCGAGCTCTTTCTTATCCAATGATTTATTTTCATTTTTGGTTTTTTGGGGGGACCAGGGTGGTCGTGCAGTGGAGAGGGCATTTGCCTTGAACGCAGCAGGCATAGTTTCTACCTTGGGCATCTCACAGGGTGCCCCGAGCACTGCCAGGAATGATTTCCTGAGTGCAGAGCCAGGAGGAACCCCTGAGCGTTGCCAGGTATGGCCCCAAAACACAAAACAGAACGGATTTTCGGTTTTTGCTCCAGGTTTGCACCCACTGTGGGTCGCATCTGGATTGGTGGCGTGTAGAACCCTCGCCTTTCCTGCGGTTTCCATGTTATTTTTCGATCAGATGCAGAGAGTTGGGCCTGCTGAAGCCAGCCAGCCGGCCCACCGACCAACTGACTGACCGACTGACCAACCGACCGACCGACCATCAAAAGCAAACGTGGGGATTCTGGGGCTGAGCGGCCTGGAGTTCTCAGGACCCCTGGGATGAAAGAACAAAGGTGAGTCCTGACCTCGGGTTGGCCCCACCGGGCCGCTACCCTAGTCAGGACAGCACTGGGGCCCAACCCACACCGAGGGGTCCAGGCAGCCCCCATGGGCTGAGTCATCAGGACCAGCCGGGCCTTGGGGGGGAAAGCGGGGGTCCGAGACGTGAAAATGCAGAGGGCACGCGGAGTTGACTTTCTCGGCGCGAAGAAGACTTACTCCCTTCAATGTGCGCCTGGGGGTTCTTGTATAGGTGCTCGATGCGGCCCGTGTTGAAGGAGCTGGACCGGCGGATGATGCCGTGGACCTGCGTTGGGGGGGCACAGAGAGCCGTTACCCACGTGTCACGGGGAGCCACACACCGCCCGCCGCCTTTCTGCGGGGGCCAGACCTGCCCTCTGTAAACAAGGTGCTTTCATCGCTGGACACAGACTCCCGGCTGGTCCCCCCCACCCCACCCCGCCCTCCCCGCAGCAGTCCCTGCCCGCCAGGCACCCCCCAACCGCCACCACCTTTCAACAAAGGCCGCTGATAATCCCGCGACTTCCCAACGCACGCTCAGCGGCAGATACTGAGACGCCTCCGGCCCCCAAGCCGGCCCGCTCACAGCCCCAGCTGCTGACAAAGATATCTCCCGGCTTTGAAGCCGAAGACAGACCCCACGGGGCCCGGCGGACCAGCCCTGTCACCTCTCCAGGGCCAAGCACCGGGTCCTGCGCTTTCCTGAGCCCTGTGGTCCCACTCAGAGGCCACCGTGCAGGGTTTCTGCATAGACACGCTTATACAGACACGTGCGTCCACATGGACGGGGCCACGGAGGGCAGGTATGCGTGGGAAACTCCGAAAGCGGAATGGCTCGAGTAGGAGCAGAGAGAACACGCAGAGAAAACTCCAGAAAGGGGCAGGAGATACATCACACACACACACACACACACACACACACACACATTTTTATCTTTGTCTTCGCTCTAAGACGTGTGAGGAAAGAGATTCATTAGAACAAAAACAACCCCCCAAAAAAAAAAATAAAACCAACGAGCACACCTGTGAAGCCCTAAAGAAAAGGCTGTTTGTGTCTGATACATAAGAGAAATTGTTCCACACTTGGGCTCACTTCCTTCTCGTGTCAAAACCACTCCCTTTGTGTGGCCAACGCTAATACTGGCTCATGTCACCGGCCGCCCGAGTCCCAGTCCGGCTGGTGGCGGTTTTAATCCTTGACTGCTTTGAGAAGTTCCTGCTCATGGCAGGCAATTTCACTTTGCAGCTGAATACACGGCTCTATGTTACCTCAATCGTTTTCTGTCTCTTTCGAACCAAAATTAAATCTTGGCATGACTCAAATATTCCGAACGCGGTGGGGGGGGAGGGGGGCGGTCACGGGGGTTGGGTGGGTGGGGGGGGAGAGTTCTAAGCACATAAGACTTTCTTTCAAACAGAAAGAAATGGCATGGTCATTTTACACGGCATACATGAGAAATTGACTTCTGCGAGCAGACGACACACCCGTGATTAATAATTCTGCCGGCCAGTGCGCCTTCGCCAAAGAGAAAAGCACTCGTCCGCATGATTTTCCAAAAGAACTCAGCCCAAGAAAACTCGGTAAACACGCAAATATTTTAAGAAGGAAATATCACCAGGCTCGGTTGACATTTTCAGAGGCAAACAGTGAAAAATCTAGGAAACACTGCGATCTGGCTATCCGTATCCAGTTCTGAGTGGCAACGCGAGAAAACACTCGGGCTAGCCTGGGAGGATTTCTTCTCCTCTGGCCGCCCCGAGCGTTCCACTTGCCCGTTTCAAAGGTGAACTCGACAAACACGGAGAGTTTTGAATGAAAGTCAGGTTCTCCGTCGTATGACCGAAACCCAATCAATCGTGAACAACTTTGCAACTGTGTATCTCACGGTGATTTGATTTAAAAAAAAAAAAAAGTCAAGTTCTCATACGCATGTTTTTACACGCATAACACTGGTATGGACCAAGCCAAGTTTTTTATGAATTATAGATTTCTCGGATTTCTTTTTCTTTCTTTCTTTCTTTTTTTTCTTTTTGGGTCACATCTGGCATTGTACAGGGGTTCCTCCTGGCTTTGCACTCAGGAATTACTCAGGTGCTTGGGGGACCCTATGGGATGCTGGGAATCGAACCCAGGTCGGCCGCGTGCAAGGCAAACGCCCTCCCCACTGTGCTATGGCTCCAGCTCCCATTTCTTGAATTTCTTGAACGGAGAAAAATGGCAGCACTCTGAGAAGAGAATATCTGACTTTGAGGGTGCAGAAGCCTCAGGATGAGAAGAGTGGACGGCGGATCTCACCTTTGCACGACGGTGCCTGCCTGGGCAAACCGCCAACCCAGCCGTCCGAAAGAAAGGTAAAACGGGCGTTGCCGTGGGCATCGCATATGGCACCAGGTCTGACCAAAAGAGTAGTTGACACCGATGGACTGGGAAAGGCAGGGACCCAAGTCTACAGCAATTAGAAACTAAGAGGGATTCCTGGTCACCTGCGATATCAAAACAGCAGGCATCGGCTTGAAGGGCGTTTCCTCAAGACACACACACACACACACACACACACACACACACCTCAAAAAAAAAGTGTCTTGACTCCCCTTCACTCCCCACTTTCGGTATGTGTAGAAGGGAAAGACAAGGGCTGCCAAACGCTTAATCCGTGACAGCGAGTATTATTCTAAGAACTCATGAAAGCCGGATCTGTCGGCTTCTGGGACAGTTGACAGGCGAACGCCCCAGCAGCCAGAATGTGTGCAAACTGGGTCCTCCAAGGAAGGCCTGGAGATTAGCAGCTCTGTTGGCGCACAAAGATCGGACAGGGCGGGGGGTTGCTTTGTTTGTTTTGATGAGGATTTGTGGGGTCGGGGGGGAGAGGGGACGGTGGCCAGGAGTCAGGCACCCCGGCGGGGAGATAAATGGGCTGCCTCGGACTTCACCCAGGCTTCAGGGGCACTTCGCAGGCCTCGTTACTAACCCACAGCCGCTCCGGGCCCAAATTTGATTCTGATCCACCCGCCCACCCCATCCCCAGGACTAAAAAATAAAGCGTTTGGAAGTGTTTGCGACCCTCACATTTCACGTCCTATTTAACTAAGCGATGGGAGGGGGAATCTCCGGGTTCTCCTGGGGTCAGGACAGGGCTGGCCTGACTTCCACGGCCAGCGTGAGGTCGGGCCACGCATCAGAAAACTGCCTGTGTGCCGGGTATCTCCCTCACTCAAGGAGTCCCAGCAAAGAGAACGTGATTCGCCGGGAGCCTTCCAGCTCCTTCTAGATTCCTCTAGGAGGCCCAGATGCAGCTTGGCTTGTCCCGGGAAAGGACAGACCACGTGGGAAGTGACGCAGCCTCGGGGAAGGTCCCCGAGCACTGACGCGGAATCTGCCGGAGGGAGCATCCCCGCGGGCCTTCCGCAGAGGGGGCACCGCCTGAACCCGCCCCCCGGGGCCCACCCAGCCACGTCCCCACCATCCACTGGACCAGTGCTCGCTACAGTTTGGAATCAGAGCCCTGACGGCTCTGCCCAGGTGTCCAAGAGCTCCAGTGACCCAGGAAGAAACGTCTCGAGGCTTCTCCGGGATAGATTCTCCGGGGACTTGGAGAATCTCCCAGACTGTGACCATCTTCACGGCCCTCAGGTCCCGCTTCCTGTCACTGCTCCAAGAGCTCTGGGGTGACGAGGGGGACCGACATCCCCCAACCCGGGTGTGGAGCCCCAAGGGGCTGCCACTGAGTTCCTCCCAGACACTCCAGGGCTTGCCGAGGGCCGGCCTGTCCCGGTGTTCTGGTTCCTCTCCGGGCCTGTGACACAAAGGCGGGCTTATCTGGGGCGGCGAGCCCGGAAGCTCTGGGCTCTGTCACCAGAAGGTTCTCTCCGGTGGGGTTTTTCCCTTCTGTCCTCAGGAGGGGCAGGACAGCCCCCCCACCCCCGGATGCACGAGGCCGGGGGACGGGGGCGTTTTCCAAGCCCCCGCCACCACCGCCTTTCCTGGGGCCTAACCCAGGTCCTCGCTGGACGAGGGCGTCTTCTACAAGGCCCAGAGCTGCACATCCCCATCTGTCCCACCTGACTGATGCGACAAGAAGAGAGACGGGTGCCCGAGGCCCCTGCCGGCACCCCAAGGGCCAGATCAGGGGGTTCGGTGAGGCGAGGGAGGGGGGGAGGGGAAGCTTGGGCCAGAGGCTGGACCTGGCTCACTCGGAGCTGGCCCGAGGCCGTGAGAAAGAATCGGCCTGGGGCCCTGGACGGTGTGTGGGGTCAGCGCAGGAAACGGGGAGGGGAGAGCTCCCGTGTGTGACCCGACTCTCCTGCATGGCCCACCCACGCCCGCCAAGAGGGCCCGGAGGTCTGGGGCACCGTCTCCCCCGGCCGGGCTGGAGAGATGCCAGTCACATCTGGCCTGTCCCCGATATACCCCAATGTCCCCCCATTCTGCACCAAGCCGCATATGCAAATCTTGAAGGGGGATCGGGAAGGGGCTCTGTCCCAGTTGCCCCCCCAAGCAGGTCCCCGTGGGGGGTGGGGGGTCCCCCAACCAGGAACCCCGAGGAAGGAGACAAGAAAGTATCTGCAGGAAACTGGCATCACCACCGCCTCAGGCAGCAAAGCACGTATGAGGGGGCTGGAGTGATAGCACAGCGGGGAGGGCGTTTGCCTCGCATGGGCCAGAGCCAAGTTCGATCCCCAGCATCCCCTAGGGTCCCCCGAGCACCGCCAGGAGTGATTCCTGAGTGCAGGGCTAGGAGGAACCCCTGAGCATCGCCAGGTGGGACCCAAAAAGGAAAAAAATAAATAAATAAATAAAAAACACCAGATCCTCCAGGTGCGGGCACAGAGTCGTTGGCAAGGCCTCTCCCTGTGGCGCGGGGCGGATTCTCCCACCATGAGCCTGCGTCAGGGATGGTCAGAGAGCTCCGGATTACCCCCACACAGGCCCACACCAGCCCTGGGGCCTATGGCTGCGTGTTCTCTGTGGAACTGCAGCATGGACTGAGGTTTAGGGCTGAGACTTCAAAAAAATATAAAAAGCAGGAACGAGAAAGGGAAGATGCTCGCCAAGAGCCCCAGCAAATTTGCCACGTGAAATGCGGGTTTCCTTCTCAGGAGCTGAAAGCCTGCAAGGGCAAGAGGCGGAGGAGCCGAGGCCCGCGTGGGGCTGGAGCGACAGCACAGCGGGGAGGGCGTCTGCCTTGCACACGGCGGACCCGGGTTGACACCCCGGCATCCCATGGGGTCCCCCGAGCACCGCCAGAAGTGATTCCTGAGTGCAGAGCCAGGAGGAACCCCTGAGCATCGCCGGGTGTGGCACAAAACAATACCCACGAGAGAAGGAAGGAAGGAAGGAAGGAAGGAAGGAAGGAAAAGAAAGAAAACTAGAAAGAGAGGGAGAGAAAAGAAAGGAAGGGAAAGAGAAAGAAAAAAGAAAGAGGGAGGAAAAAGAGAAAGAAAGAGAGAAAGAAAGAAAGAAAGAAAGAAAGAAATAGAGGGAGGGAGGGAGGGAGGGAAGGAGGGAGGGAGGAAAAGAAAGAAAAAAGAGAGGGAGAGAAAGGAAGGAAAGAAGGAAGGAAGGAAAAGAGAGAAAGAAAAAGAGAGGGAGAGAAAAGAAAAAAAGAAAGGAAGAGGAAGAAAACTATTAAGAAAGGTAGAGAAAGGAAAGAAAGGGAAGGAGGGAGGGAGGGAGGGAGGGAGGGAAGGAAGGAAGGAAGGAAGGAAGGAAGGAAGGAAGGAAGGAAGGAAGGAAAGGAGAAAGGGTCCATCGGGAAGACGAGGATGAGGATGATGAGGACGGAGGACAGTGAGGGCAGCCGCAGCCCCGAGACACACTCTGAGCTTCCAGGGCCCTTGATGCCGGCCGGAAGCAGGAACGTCCAGGCACCAGCTCTGCCCGAGACCAGCTCCCCGCTGACTGCCGGGTGCAGCTGCCCCACAAGGTGAGTGCCAGAGCGGGCATGGGGGAGGGGGGAAGGGGGAGGGGCCCCTCCATGCTCCTCCATCCCTCCTGGGGTCCCCTAGCTGGGACCAACCGGAGCCGTATCTGAGGAGGCGGACAGCATGACAGTGGCAAGCAGAAGAGTGTCCAGGGCAGTGGCCGATGGACAGCAGAAGGATGGGGGCGGGAGGGGCGAAGGCTACATGGGCTGCCCCAGGCCCGCGTCAGGGGAAGCAGCGTGAGGGGCGGTGGCTGAGGAGGCCAAGGCCCCGCCGGCAGGTCACTCACCTCGTAGCCCTTCTCCAGCAGGAACTCGGCCAGGTACGAGCCATCCTGGGGAGAGAGAGAGGGGACAAGCGTCAGGTGGCAGCGGCAACATGGGGGTGGGAGGGGGGGGCCCAGGCGTGGGGTTCGAGACGCGCCTTTAGGGGCGAGGCCTGCCGGCGCATGGACATGGCCATCGGGGCAGGCCACGGTGGCAATCAGGGCTCCAGGCCTTTCTCCCGGAACGCTAGAGCCCCAGGAGTGCGGGAAGTGGTCCCTGCCGGGCGCCACAGAAAGAGGGGCACCCAGGCCAGCAGACCTGGGGGACAGAAAGGTCCCAGCCCGGTGGACACTGGGTTAGGCCTTGGCGCTTAGTGGCCATGAGAAATATGCAAGCCATGTGCACCGGTGGCGGCGTCGGCCTCCAGCCCAAGGGTCTCAAGGCTACACCCGAAGGACTTCCCGGGGGCCACAGAGGTTGCCCAATGGGCAGAGCACAGGCTTGGCATGCGGAAGGGCCAAGTCCCGTCCTGAGCACCGCAAGGTCCCTGAGCGCTTCCGGGGATGACCAGCACGCACTGAGCAGGGAGGAGACCCGCCTGCCCCACAGGGTCCTCCCAGGGAAGGAGGGTGCTTGCCGGGAGCAAACGGTCAGAACCCAGCCGACCCAGGTGACTCCTGGGGTGGGTCCTCTCGGCCTCCCTGCAGCACCTGGCACTGGGGGCAACATCTCGGCTGGAGACGGGGGGTCCCAGCTACGCCCGACCAGCCAGCCATCCTGACAGTGATTCCCTAGAGGACAGTCCCCGGGGACGGCGGGAGCAGCGGCGCCAAGGTGAAGTGCCTGCCCCGCACCCAGGGGACGCGGTCATTCCCCGGTCCGGCCCCTGCAGCGCGAGGGGACCCTGAGCACAGCAGGGGTCACTCCCGAGCACTGGAGCCCCCAGCACTGCGAGTGCTTCCCCGCAGGACCCTGCCGTGACTGCAGAGAATGCTCTGTTTTGGTTTTTTTTTTTTTGAATAAAGTTGTTCACGATATTTGATCACATTTAATATTCGAACACCAACCCCACCACCCAGACACCTTCCCACACCATATTCCACCAGACGTTTCCATCCCAAACCCCAAACCCTGCCCCCAAAAGCAGAATCAAAGTCACTTATTTTGGTTTGGGTTTTTTTCTTTTTCTTTTTTTTTTTGCTTTCTGGGTGACCCCCGGTGTGCTCAGGGGTTCCTCCTGGCTCTGCACTCAGGAATCAGAGTTCCTGGCGGTGCTCAGGGAACCCTATTGGATGCCAGGATTTGAATCCAGGATTTGAACCCCGTGTGCAAGGCAAATGCCCGACCCGCTGTGCTACTGCTCCAGCCTCCCAAGAAATCGGTTTTGTACTGCTTGTTATGAATAATCTGCTAAAAATGCTCCCAAAAACGTTTCTTAGAGGGAAGTGTGTGAAGATGGTTGTATTTCGCCCAGGAGACATTAAGCCCTTGTAGAAGAGATTAGTAACATGTTGTTACAGGTTGAGCTTTGTGTGCTTATATGTATATGTGTGTGTGTGTATATATATGTATATATATGTATATATATATATATATCGATTTGCTCGAGCGGGCCCAGTAACGTCTCCATCGTGAGACTTGTTGTTACTGTGTTTGGCAGATCGAATACGTCACGGGGAGCTTGCCAGGCTCTGCCGTGCGGGCGAGATACTCTCGGTAGCTTGCCGGGCTCTCCGAGAGGGGCGGAGGAATCGAACCCGGCTCGGCCATGTTGGCTGCTTGTAAGGCAAATGCCCTACCGCTGTGCTATTGCTCCATATATATATATATATATACACACACATATATATATATATGTCACTGTCACTGTCACTGTCACTGTCCTCCCATTGTTCATGAATTTGCTCGAGCGGGCCCAGTAACGTCTCCATTGGAGACTTTGTTGTTACTGTGTCTGGCATATCGAATACGTCACGGGCAGCTTGCCAGGCTCTGCCGTGTGGGCGAGAGAATTTCAGCAGCTTGCCGGGCTCTCCGAGAGGGGCGGAGGAATCGAACCTGGGTTGGCCAGGTCAGCCGCGTGCAAGGCAAATGCCTTATCGCTGTGCTATGTGCTATGGCTCCAGTATGTGTGTGTGTGTGTGTGTGTGTGTGTGTGTGTGTGTGTGTGTATGCAGATATGTATGTATACATCTGTACCCCAAGACTGGCTGCCTTCTCCCTTAAGCCGCATCACATGTGGTGCGCTACCCTTGGTCTATTAGTGCTGTAAAGCAGAGGATGTCGCATGGCCCAAGGAGCCAGCCCCAACGTTCTGTTTGAAACCAGAGGGAAAGGGAGGGGGGAGAGGGAGGGGAGGGGGAGGGGGAGGGGAGGGGAAGGGGAGGGGAGGGGGAGGCCGGGAAAGTGCAGGCGGTCCTTGGGGGCCGCGAGGGCCGCGATTATGTCCAGGCTGATGGGAAACAGGCGCGCGGGGCTGGACCCTGTCAATAAGGTCTTGTTCTTCTCACCCAGGCTGCTCCTCAGACTTTCCGACCGCACTGGAACATTCTGAGCCGGCAGGGGCCCCGCTTCCTTGCCAGGTCTCTCGGCGATAGGCCGGGGCCGACACAATGTGCTGGGAATGCGGAGGCCGGGCGGCGCGGCCGCCCCGAGGGACACCCCGCTATCTCGGCGGTCTCTGGCCTCTGCCGGCTCTGGAGGAGGCCGCGGGGACCAAGCGTCCAGGGGAAGCGCTGAGGCCTGGGCCCAGCCCGGTGCCAGTCTCTGGGACGAGAGAGCGGGATCCCCGGGGGTGCACTCGTCGAGGTTCAAGCCGGGACCCACTTCCTGGCGGACAAGGTCCCAGATTGGGGCCAGCACCGCGGCTGTGAACAGCAGGCCCAGAGGCGTTTTCCTTCTGGTTCTGGGCAGACCTTGGCCTGGGCAGACTAACGGGGCCTCTGCACGTCTCAGGGAAACTGAGGCACAGGGGGTCACTAGCTTCCCGCCACTCTGGATGAAGCCTGGCCTAGAAGTGGGTGTCATTCCGTAGCCCGAGGAGCCAAGTCCCTGGCTCCCTGCCACCGCCGGGGCCCCACGAAAAACCCAAACCCACAGGCCACCGCGAGCTCAAGTTCCACCTTCCAGCTGCTCCCTGTCACTGCCTTCCACTGCAGGGGTCTGCGGTGTGGGCAGATTTAAAGGGGGCTTCCCGGCACAAGGGGGTGACAGCCTTGCACGGGGCAAGCCTCGGGCTCCTGCCCCAGCCCCGCCTGGCCCCCGGCTCTGAGCACTGAGTGGGGAGCAGCCCCTAGCCCCACCAGGTGTGGTCCCTAGAGAACAGAGCCCTGTGTGCCGGGCGAGCGAGCGGCCCCGTGCTGGAGACGCCACGCAGCGTCAGAACATTCCAGAACGGCAAGGAGAGGCGGGCTCCGGTGCCTGGGACGGGGGTCCCGGTCTGGACATGGTGGCAGTGTGCAGGGCGGAACGGAGGTGGGGGTCGGTGTGGGGTGGGGAGGGGGAGGGCAGGGGCCAGCAGGACAAGACTCAGGGGAGCCTGTACCTGCCGGGCCTGAGACTCGGGGCTCTGCTCTGCACCTTTCCTGCCGGCCTCAGAGAGATTCCTGAGAAAAACCCAGAAAAATAATTTCTTTTCACTAAAAAAAGGGATCTGGAGCCACAGCACAGTGGGGAGGGTGTTTGCCTTGCACGTGACAGGCCCGGGTTCAATCCCCGGCATCCCATAGGGTCCCCCGAGCACCACCAGGAGGGATTCCCGAGTGCAGAACCAGGAGTAATTCTGAGCATTGTGGGGCGTGACCCCAAAAAGCAAAATAATAAGCAAATACGGGGGGGGGGGCATTTCCAAGGTTCATTAGAGCCTATCCTGATGGCAGCAGGAAAACGACCAGAAACTTCACAGGGAGAAGCACCAGAGAAGCACCACAGGGCCTGAGTGAAAGAAGAGCCTTGCACACGGAGACCCAGGACCATCCTGGGTCTGGCTGGGACCCATCTGCTCCCCAGGGATGAGGAGGAGGAGGACTGAGCCAGGACTGAGCCCTGAGCACAGAACCGGGAGTCAGCCCTGAGCACAGACCGGGGGTGACCCTGAATACTGTCAAGACCTCCCCTGAGCCCTGAAGAGCGAAGGTTCACCGGAAGTTCCTACTTCAGCCTCAGGCCTGACCTCCCCGAGAGTCTGAATTTTCAGGGGCACATCACGGCATTGGCGGCACAGCTCCAAACTCTACTGCACCAACACCCCGGGAAGCGCGCCAGGTGGGATGGGATGTGTCGTGGGTGCCCACCGATCTCGACCAACAGAAGCTGGGCTCGCACCAGCAGCGTAGCGAATCCTCAGCCCAGGACTTACTGTCCCCACGGTGAGAGACAGCAAGTTTTGCAACTTTCCACGATGGAAATACTTGTTTGTTTGTTTTTTTTTAAGATAAATAGTGAGGGGCCAGAGCAATAGCACAGCGGAGAGGGTGTTTGCCTTGCATGCGGCCGACCCAGGTTCAATTCCCAGCCTCCCATAGGGTCCCCCAAGCACCGCCCGGAGTGATTCCTGAGTGCAGAGTCAGGAGGGACCCCTGAGCATCAGCCAGGTGTGACCCAAAAAGCAAAAAAATAAATAAATAAATAAAATTGGGCTGGAGCGATAGCACAACGGTAGGGCGTTTGCCTTGCACGCAGCCAACATGGCCGACCCGAGTTCAATTCCTCTGCCCCTCTCGGAGAGCCCGGCAAGCTACCGAGAGTATTCGATATGCCAGACACAGTAACAACAAAGTCTCCAATGGAGACGTTACTGGGCCCGCTCGAGCAAATCGACAATCAACGGGAGGGCCTTTACCTTTTTTTAAAAAATAAAATTAAAAAAAAAAGATTGAGATAAATAAATAAAATAAAATAAAATAAATGAAGCTAGAAGTACATGGGGGAAAGCTTAAAAAGCAAAGAATCAAAATCTTGGGAGTGGAGAGGACACAAGTGAACCACAAGTGAGCGACAGGCCAAAGCTTACCTGCACGGGGAGGGCAAGGCCACCAGGGCCGGCCGGCCACCCTGGCAATGCTTCAGG